CTGTCCTCAGAGAGAAGCCTTCCAACACAGTCAACTGCCCCTGCCATTCTAGGCCTGAGCACGGCCAGGCACACATGTACACACACATACTCACAAGGCCACTGGCACACATAGAGACAGCCAGGACTCCTGCCACTTCCCACCAGCAGGGTCTCTGGGGCTCAACACACAGCCTGCTCTTCTGAGGGCACGAGACAAAGCAGGTGAGGAGCAGCCGAAAACAAAGAAATGGGGGGGGGGAGAGTGCGCCTAGAGAAGGCCAGTGACACAGACACCAGGCTCCTGGACGCTCCCTACCCCAGGCTGAAGGGACCTCTATATCCTTCAGATCAGAGGTATCCATCAGTGGCCCAGGGGCCACACCAAGCCACGAATACCAAGTATTTAACCTGGACAGTGCTTAAAACTCATTTTAAAAATTAATTGTTACATCTAGTCCATTGACTACTACGCAGCAATAAAAACACATGAATGAACCAATGGTACGCGCAAGCATTTGGGTACATCTCCAGTGAATTCGGTGGACTGAAAAATCCAGTCCCACAGCATCAGAGGCTTGGTGATCCTATTTACATAACATTCTTGAAACAACAAAATTATAGAAATGGAGAGAAGGTAACAGTGATTGCTGTAAGTTAGGGAGAGGGTGTGCAGTAGGGAGGTGGGTGTGGCTATGAAAGGGTAACATGGAATGTTCAGGTGATGAAAATACTCTGCATTTGACTATATCAGTGTCAACACCCTGATTTTGCCATTGTACTATAGTCTTGCAAGACATTACTGTTGGGGATAAAGGGTAGTCTGTGTATTATTTCTTAGAACTGCATGCATACCAATCTGCAATGATCTCAAAATGGTTTAATAAATTGCCAGCATGTAAAAATTAGAAATAATTTTTAATAAATAATTGCCAGCATGTAAAAATGAGAAATATCAGCTTTAAGTCTTTAAAAATCAGTGGATGGAGCAGAGCTGGTCTTACATTTCTCCACAGTAACAGTCCCGTGTCCCCACATTTACAATATACCTGCGTGGTCCCACATCTGCATTACCTGGTGCACCCCACCTATTTTCGGTCCTGCATATCGGGTCTCTTTAAGATTCTGTTTGACAAATGAGGCCCACTGCTAACACATTTTAAAACTACTAGTTGTGTCCAAACTTTCCTATTACCAAGAGGAAGCCAAGGCCCAGAGACATCATGAATGGGGTTAAGCCACCTGGAAACTGAACATCAGATCCATGATCTATGTGCCAGCCTGTCTGAAGTCAGGGAGAAGAGTCAGAGACATCATGAGCAGAGGCCCTGGTGCAGGGCCACACAGCCATGCCAACTGCACTGAAAACCACCCCAGGGAGACTTCCCAGGACACAGGCACAGCCACAGCCACTTTGTTCAGCCAGGTCTGCAGCTTTTGTCATCAGTGCTCAGTTACAGGGCAGGGACAGTTCTGGGGCATCTTGAGTCTAGTGAGCCTCCTCTGCTTGGAGTTGTCTGAAAATTCATAGCCAGCCTGAGAGAAGAGTGAGGAGAAGGAAAAGGAGAGAGGAGAAGAGAGGAAGAAAGGGAGAGATCCTAGGATGCCCACAAGGGCTTTTCAGGGGACATAGGACCTCCTGGTCTCTCCAGTTGTGGTTTTCAAACTTGCTAGGCATGAAGAAGACCAATACATCCACAAAACACAGGCAACTTTTACTATGGATAGCTGCTGACTGCTCCTCATGAGGGTTCCCTTTGATGGAAGGCCCTGAGCCAGGTGGCACCGCGAGAGTCAGCCCAGTTAGAGGGGACAGAACTGAATATGCCAGGGAGGGGACAGGACACTGCAGAGGAGGAGGAAGGAACCAGTGAGTCACTGCTGTGTTGGAAGGAGGCAGGTAAGGAGAGGAAAAAGAACCTTGGATGGTTGCACTATGGAGAAGGGATATGTAGGGGTGGTGGAGTTATGTTGTTTGTGGAGGGGTGTGCAATCAATCCTCACCTTCAACTCATCTATGAACTTGTCACTAAAATCAACTTTGTTCCTTAACCCTTGGGGACTCAGAGAGAGGAAAGTTGTTTATCTGGGTGAGCATCCGATGAACATGGAGACTGTACTCGTAGATAGTGGTGCCACAAGGTGGGGGCCAGGGGATGTCTGGGCTCCATGTTGGGGTCCTCCGGGATGGTTATGCCCAGTGGGATCCAGATGCCTCACAGGTTCAAGCCCCGCCTTTGATGAAGCTAGGCTTATTCCTACTCCCAGCCCCATCAGGGTCGCCTGACATGGACCTGACCTTCCAAGCCATCAGGGCCCCAGATTGCCTTTCCAAAGTCAGAGGAAAGCGGTGGTGTCTTCTCTAAGATCAGATGCTCTGCTTTTGGAGGGAGGCACTATTTGTGCTCCGCAGTTTCAGAGGAGGCTTGGAGCCACAACATTACTGGCACCCACTAGAGCGGGTCCTGTGTGGAAACTGTCAGCAGGCTAGTGTTTAAGCCCTCCTGGGCAGCTTGCTAAGGTGCTGGGTCTTTCCTGGGATGGCAGCCAAATTCACAGCTGATATATGGGCTTTTCAGGGGCCTACCCTGCCTCACCTGTAAAGATAGGGTCCTTGGAGATTAGACTATGCCTTAGGATGGCCAGCAGGTGAGCACTGGAGTGTTGGAGGGATCCTACCTGCTACCAGTTACCAGAGACACTGTCAGAGTGTCAGAGGGTACAAAGCCAGGGCCCACTGAAGGGCATGGAGGGAAATCAGGGTTTGTGAGCTGCCGTGGGACTCTGTGGGAGGCAGATCCTGGAGGCCTAGGAATGACAGGTGAAAGGAGAGTATGCAGGGTCCTGACATGCAAACTTACACTTGCCCGGTCATCAGTGCTGCTGCCTGGTACAGAACTTCTTGATACCACTCATGGGCATTCCTGCCAGCTTTCCCACCACACAGCAACAGGAAGTAGAAAACACTCTGTGCATGTACAAGCCTGTGTAGGCTGCCAGGCTGCCAGCATCTGGCAAACTCAGACTCTGCTGGAGTAAGCCACTTGGAAGTAAGAAGCCCTCCTGGGGAAACTCAGCCTTCAGGAGAGACTCTTAGATCCCTTGCTGTGAGCATGGCTGAATTAGGAGGAGAAAGAAGAGGCTGTGGCTGTCCTCAGCCAACAGGATGGGTCACCAGGGACTAGGGGTGTAGCTTCCAACTAGGGAGTGGAGACAGATGGAAGTGGGGCTCAGCTCCCTTGGGGAGAAAGACCCCTGACCTGCCTGGACCCAGGATGGAGACAAGCACGCTCACTTTTACTCAGGTGGCCACTTCGGTGGGACTAACCTCCCCACTTATTTACAGGACCAGGCAGAACAAGCCCCAAGAGATACATCTGGAAGCCAGGAAGGGGGAGGCCAATTATGAGGCTTGGGAACCACCCCAAATACTGCCTTTCATGTTCTCCTCACCCAATAACTTTTCAGTGCCTAAAAATACTTCAGAAGAAATATAAAAGATATCTACCTCTAGTTACTGTTATCTACCTCCACCAGTACCCTCCTGCCTGTAGACGGTGTCCAGTGAACCAGGTGCAAACTTAGAGTAACCTGCCAGAAAAGGAGTCTCCAGAAGTACATCTGGGAGGTGGCAGGGGCCAGAAAGGCAGGGTTGCCTCATGAGAGGGAGAGAAAATGCCCCTGCTGGCTTCTAATTGGAAGGAACTTGGGACTATGAAGCTGTTTGCTGTGGGGTATGTGCTGTAAAGCCCCTCTATCAAATCTTTGCTGCGGCGACATTGCTCACGGGAGCACCTATGGGGTGGCCTCACAGGGGAGGCGGGACAGATGTGGAAACAACACGCAGGAGCAGTGGGTACAGGAGGAGGAGGGCTGACAGTGCAGTCACACTTAGAAGAGCTAGATACTAACTTCTGAGCTAAGTCAAGCATCATCTCATTTCAGGTGCATATGTACACGTTGCAGGCAGTGACAGGTTGAGAACTGTTACTGGAACGGCATGCCATTGTTAGCAGGCCTGGGAGGACCACACTTTAGGCTTGAAAGCCCCAGCCAAAGAGTGGAAGCAATTTGGACTGGCAAAAATACAGGTTCAAAAAGAAAATCCATGTCAACTCCAGTGCCCCAGAGTTCTGCTCTCCGAACAGTCCTATGACCATGACACACAGGTTAGTAAGTACAGAAAGCCTGGCCCAGGGTGGAAGAGCGCCTCCGAGCCCCAGCCTCATACAGAGTTCACAACAGGATGCACTGACCCAAGGCAGATTCTTCCAGGAAGAACATGCAGATGACATTTGCCTCCAAAGTACAGCACAATCACACTTGACTCTATGCCTCCACATGGAAGGCCCTGGTGAGTTCCATTGGGTTCCAGGGCAGCATGCCCCCTCACGCCGTTCCATGAGCATTTGACAAGCCACAGGTAGTAGGTTAGTGGCTGTGGCCTCAGGCCTGCCAGTGTTTTAAACACTATACCTTGACCTTGAGATGCCTAGCCCTGAACAAACCCCTCCTCATGCCCAGGGTTTGTCCTTCCTTGCAACAGCTGTCATGCTCTGAGCAATTTATGAAACTAATACCTCAACAGGTGAGTTCAGGGGCCAGGCACCCATGACCAGGAGAGCCCTCTAGGTGCCTGCTTCCAAGTGCCTGCTTTCCAGATTCACAGGGTGGGCAGGCAAGGCAGCTGGCTCGGTGCCCTCACAGGGAGAGATGCCCTCATTCTCAACAGCCCAGTGAAGGCCAAAGCAGCCCTGCCCACAGACTGAGCCAGAAGAGCCCAGAGTCCTTACTCTGGCAGCTTGCGCCCAGGGTTTAGAGACTCAACTCCAGGCACCCACCTCACTGACCCACAACAAATGCCCCCCCAAGCCAGCATCTGCTGGAGCCCCTTAGGGGCCAAGAGTTCCCAAATACATAAACTTGAGGGGTTCCTTCCATAAGTCATGTGACCTGGGGGCTACCAGGGAAGGGATGAGATTAGGAGGGGCAAGGTCACAAAGTCTTAGTTCAGACACTTACCTTGACCTTCGCAAAGCTTCTTCATCAGGGTCTTGCACTGTGGATAGAAAGTTGCTGGTCAGGAGGAGTACAGGGAACATAGAGAAGAAAAGCCACTAGAGCTCTGTGGGCACTGATTCCCCACCAATGACTGCTCCCTAGCCTAAACTAGGAAGGAAAAGGCTGTGTGCTGGGCAGAGGGCGGGGGGAGAAAGGGAATATGAGAGGACATGGTGTAGGTGGGTGGGAGTGGTCAGAGGTGTGGCCTGTGAGGTCCTCTTATCCCAGCTCTGGGCAGTAATTTTGCCCAGAAGCATCATGGCAAGCCTGCTGCTCACCATGTGGTCAGGGAGATGAGCAGAACATTGATGCTATTTGCCTGCCCCAAATAGACAGGGCCCCAAAGGGGCTTAGCAGCCACTATTTATCTATCAAGGCCAGCTCATCTTCAAAAAGAGGGAGGAAGGGCTTGACTCCCTGGCCTCTGTGGGACTGTGGAGTAGGGCCCGGAACCCTCATGGCCCCTCAGCATCTCTCCTTTTTGCCTCCCCAGCCCACCCCAGAGCCCTTACTTACTGTATTCTGTCCCTGTCATCTGTGCCAGGATGCGGAAAGAGCGAGACTGAAGGTTGGAGGAGCGGCGGGCCCACTCATCAGCCTCATCTTCCGGCTTGTTCTGGTTCTTAATCACAGCCTGATACACAGGAGAGGCGCTGTCTACAGCAAGGTCTTTAACAGGAAGGCTCCTGCAATGCAGAAAGAGGCTGTGGGTGACAGCTAGGCTGGAACCCTGCTTCCAACCCCTTACGCCCCCCCCCCCACACATTGCATCCCTTGGCATCCCTTTCACCCATGGTGGCCCCTACTTATCTGAACCCACTATTCCCTTTACCCACTGCCATCTGAGAGCCTGGGACAAGGGGTTGGCTGGGTCCTCAGTGCTCAGAGTGGCCACAACTAGACAGTGATTCCTCTCACGGGGGGTCAGGAGGCTCAGATCCCTCCAGCCAACACCCCTCCCCATGCTTGCTGAAGACACTGACGTGAAGACATTACCTACCCCAGGTGCTAGATCTCCTTTAAGGAGAGAGGAGGCAGAACACATCTTCCTGGAGTAATTTCTACCTCCCTGAGCAGGCCCTGAATTTGAGGCTATGTGAGGACAAGCAATTCTGGACCCAAAGTCTCCCTCAGGGTTGATCCTTTATCCTCCTCACACCTTTGGATCCAAACAGGAAGCCACCAAAGCCATGACAGCTGTAGCAGAGGACTGAAGGCTACCTCTCAGCTACAAACAGGCAAGTGAGGGCTAGAAGGTGAGCAACACAGCAACAAGACCATGTGGCCAGTGTATCACCTGCAGACAGGGGTGTTCTGGCTTGGAGAAGCTGGGAGTGGAGCTGCAGGAGGGTCACTAGTCTTCTGCCCCAGCCTATTGAAGGAGACCTGGTGACCTTCCCTTAGACTCCCAGGGTCTGGCACGTAGTAGGTGCTCAAAACTTAGCTGAATAAACAAATTCTATATCAGAGCCAGAAGGGCCCCCAGAGCTACTTGGGTTCAGTGCCTTCCAGCTTGGACCAGACTGCAGGGCAGGATATATCAAAAGCATTATGGATGCCCACTCACCACCCTGACCAGTCAGGGCTGGAGGACACAGGATGCCCGGCCCACCCTGTCATGGACTCAGGTGGAGTTCGCAGTAATAAGAGCCTGCTTCCCCAGCCAGCAGCCCAGCTCAGGCACTTGCAGATGCTGAAACTGAGATCCAGAGAGACCAGAATACTAGCTCTAGGTAGCTCTAGCACATAGGGCCCCCAATAGAGTTAGAACCCAGACTTTCCAGCTCCCAGCCTAGTGTCCTTTCCATCAGACCCTTTGCAGAGACAAGGGCTCAGAAAGGCCACTTCTGCTCACTGGGCCTGTACAGCACAGATGCTCTATGCCTAGAAACAGCCCAGCTCAGACCCTTGCCCTGTACAGCATCCCCTGCCTGCCTCTATGGCTGCCTCTACGTGCACCCATGAGGGCCAGCTAGCTAGGAGGGGGTCCTCCCCAGTTTCCATGTCTTCTACCTCTCTGCAAGGAGCTATCTAGCACTGGTCTAGTCTCTCGGGATTGGTGCCCTGTGTCTGGCTCAGGGCAAGCTATGACAGCAGAGGTAAAGAAAGGTGACAAAAAGTAACTAAGATGGCGTGGAGCTGCCCCTACTTCCCTGGTGCTGTGCCCTGGCCAGAGAGCTACAGATAGTTAGCAGCCTGTGGTTGGGGTCCAGTGGGGAACGCCAGTGGATCCCTCTCAGGTCCTGGCAGGGAGGAGCCCAGGGTTGTCCAGGAGTAGAGGAGTGGGTGGGGGTCTCACTAGGGAAGGCCATTTCCAGCTCACAGAGGTGTCCCAAAGGCTCTCAAAGCAGAGGCTGGGCCTATTGTCTTTGGGTGAGGTGAGCAACAGGAAGGCATAATACAGTCAGGACTCCCTAGTCTCCTAGGAGTGAGTGTGGACTGTGCCATGGGTGAGGGAAGGTGTAGACCCAAGCCCAGACCCTGTCTATAAGCCTGCCTACAGTGAGCTATGTGGTTCAGAAAGCAGATGGAAGGTATTTGCTGCCATTCGCCTGGAACACACCCTTGATGTGCCGCTGGCCTTCTAAAACTCCAGGATTCCGGAAAGCTGCCCGGAGTGAGACCCTTGGGCTTTACATAGTTGGCTCATCTCCTACCACACTGTACAAAGATCAGGGACTGGTGTTGCTGCAAGAGACTGGGAGACCAATGAAGGAACTGCTGTGCCTTTTTAAGACTCTGGGGCTCAGGGAAAGAGTGGGGCAAATCCCGAAGTCCTGGGACCCTGAGTCTGAAGCTGTTCTGGGAAGCCTCTCACAGCATGGTCTTCTTGCCACCAAAAATACTCCATAGTCACTGCAAATCAAGGTCACCATGGGGCATTTACTCCACTCACACTGCCCCCCAATCTGACTAATCTCTCACCTCCCTTGGGTGGTCTTGCAAGCACTGTCTCTTTTAGATCCATGTTTCATCAGGGTTCTGGGGAGTGACCCCTAAAATGCCTCCTTAACACCTTTTCCCCTAAATAATGACCCAGGGTGGATACAGACATTCAGGTCTATGCCGATTCAGTGCAGACAGAAAAGGCTGGGGGGAGCCCCCGCAAAGCATGGCAGAGAGAACTCAGAGACACACCCAGCCTTGGCAGCCAGCATGAGTGTTCTTACTGTCATCTATGTCCATAGTGACATTATTTAGGGCAAACCCCAAAAGACAAGCCTATACAGGCTGCAGCATATGGCATGTGGCTATGAGGAAGGTATGAGAAAGAACACCGGACAGAGGCACTGTCCTCCGACACATCCCACCAACCCCACACACCGCCCCACAACCAGACAGACGACGATGGAACAGATTCTGTGGGGTCTACTTATGCCAGTGGTGATGCTCTGCCAAGCAGAGGACAGACCGTGAGTGCACATCCATCAAGGGACGACGGAGGGACAGCACACACACAAGGGAGCAGGGTTAGGATCAGAAATGAGTTATGGGAGTGGGGTGGATAAAGAATGAAGGATGACACAAAGAAAACTTTCAGTGAAGAAGGAACCATGGAAATTAATAGCAGAAACAAAGCACTTTATGGCAGAGAGAGACAGCTCTTACCCACAGTCACCGTGGCAGCACTAGCCCAGCAGGACTGAGTTAGAGGGAACAGAAAAGCATGTTGCCTCCCAGGCACACAAGGGAAGGGAAAGGGAGTGGGTAGGAGGGAGATGAGAAAGGTCTTTCCAGAAGACTAGATAAGATCAATGGTACATCATGTTTAAAAAAAAAATTGTGGGTTCCCTGGTGGTAAAACCAAATAATAGCATTCTTTCCCAAGGTGCAAAAAATAGAAAGTCCTCGTGAAGAGCAGTTCTTCCATTATCTTCCACTGAATTTCCCTTTGGTGACTGTTACAACTTTTAGGAGCACACCAAGGACACACTTGCACATTCTGTGGCAAACAAATGTTAGCAGGAAATCCCTGTTATCTCTTTGGCTTAGCCAGGCAGTTTTGTTTTCTGGGTACACATGAGATAATGGTTGTGTTTCTAAACGTGCACGGTCCTATTTTCTGCTCTGAAGGATGGAATGAAATCAATACTGTCTAGAGTTCTGCCTGAGCCGGGCGAGTCTGAGACCCACAGCTCCAGGGCAAGCAACCTCTGTCCCCTGGTGGCCCAAAGGAGGTACTGCAGGCCTAAGCAGCCAGGCTCCCCTGGGAACAGGAGAGCCCCCAAGTCTGCACAACCTTCCTTTGGCCTCTGGAGTCTTCCCCTTTTAACCTTACTTACATCATGGCCACCCGGTCTGGGTTCTGGAAAGGTCAAACACCCCTGGACTTTCTGGGACTTTTTAACCCCTTTATTCCTCTTACGACATCTGTTTTTCCTAGCTTCAGAAAAAAAGTACAGCATCATTTAAAGATTTCTTGCCTTGAGTTGCTGGGGCTACTGACTCAGGGATAAGATGTTGCCCGAAGAGATAATCAGTCAATTCTGAAAGTCAACACTGATGTTATTCCCAAGTAGAAAACAGTCAGAGACCATGTGTGTGTTGGGGGGGGGGGGGGGGGGGGGAGACAAGAGAAAGACATACAGAGATGATACACAAAGAATACAGAACGAGTGAGATAGACGCACACACACACAGATAGAGAGGGAAAGAGAAACTATGAGACAGAAAGACAAAAAGAGGAAGAGGTCCCCATTCATGTCTGCACTATTAGCAGTTTGATCCATAAGTAATTTTCAGCCAACTCTTTCCCTATTTAGTCCTCAAGTTTCTCAACCATTGATAACAAGAAAATTCCAGGAAGCAAGGATGTCTGAGGTCCCATTGACCTGAGGTCCGTCTTCCCCAGGCAAACAGGAGGAGGCAGTGCCCAGGCTCCGCAGTGGGGAAACTGCCGACAGCACCCTGATGGTCAGTCTAAAGGCCCCTTCCTAAACAAGAAACCCTGCCACATATTTGAATCGCCGCCATCTTTGGAAGAATGCACCGACTTCCCCCCAAAGAAAGGCTTAGTTATGAGAAGACTGGGACATCCTGAATTGGACACTGGTTATAGGAATCCAGAGGTCTCTTTCTAAACCAGCCCCCTCAGGGTGCCCGGGGAAACTGCAGAGGCTATAATAAGCACTTGGAAGCATCACCACAGTCTACATTTCTCCACCCTTTTCCTAAAGCCGACCATGAGATTAATTCTGAAGAGAGAATGCCATGTTCTGGAAGGCCTGGCCAGAGGCTGTGCCCAAAGCGAAGGAAGAGAGCTGGTCCTGATGCCTTGAGTGTCTCACGGTGCCCGGAAGCCTGGTGCCCGCAGCCCCGTGGGGATGAGGCCCCAGCCATGGCTGAGCTCGTGAGCAGTGAGCCACCGTGGAGGAGGGGCGGCGCTTACCCACTGAAGTCACTGCCCTGGGCCTGGGCCTGCCCAGCGATGGCATCCATGATGGCGTCCTGGGAGTACATGCTGATGGGGGTGTTGTACTGCGCGTGGATGATGGTGGCCTTGCCACCCAGACCTTTCACCTCGATGGGTTTGTGCGTGGAAAGGGCTGAATCCTTCAGGGCGTTGGGGTTGAAGCGTTCCTGGTAGTCGGCACTGGGGAAGGGGAGCAGGGGGAGCAGGAGGAAGGTGGTGGAAGGAGAAAAGGGCAACGGGTGGCGTTAACATAGGAGGTCCCAGCGAGGGCTGGTGGTGGAGGGTGTCAGGAGAGATCTCCCAAATTCTGATCCCAGAAAGTCGGCCCGAGTGCCCCAACTGTAGATGGGCTGGGTCTGGTCTGGAAAATCCTCGGCACCTTCCCCAAAGCCCTCTACAGGAGGTATTTCTTGCCCATCTGGGCTTTCCCAGATCCCTGGAGGCCTCCTGGCTCAGCCTGAGCCACGGCCCAGGGTCAGCAGGGGACGCCAGGCATTGGATGCTCTCTCACCACACCAGCAGGGAAGCAGGGAGGAAAAGGGGTTGAGGGTGGGGGTTAAGAAGTAGAGGACAGGAGCTGGGCCAGCGTATCAGGAAGCAGCAGCCCAAGCAGAGTTCAGGATGCACGAAAGGTGAGAAACAGCTCCACTGGGCAACCATAGAGATTCTGAGCTTGGTTCTTCTATGGAGGGCCTCGTTCTGCTGGCCACTCTCATGGTGGCTGGGGGTTCTGCTCCTCCAGATGCTTCAGTGCACATGCTTCTTCCAACTCACTGTGTGGCCACCAGTCTCAACCCATCAGGGCTTCCCGTCCAACAGGGAGGTGTGCTTTCCAAGCAAAGGCACGGTCAGGGGCAGCCCTTTGGAGGGGTCCCATCAGGACAGAGACATCTTCAGGCTCACAAAGAACCCAGCATCAGTGAGGCACACCCCCACTGCACCCCAGAGCCAGCAGCAGCAGGAAATTGAGAACTGAATTTCTCAATTCACAGGGGTGTCAGACGGAGCCTTAGCACCCTTCCCCACCACCTTCATCCTATACTCACAGCTTCATACACATGCAGGCTCACTCAGGGACAAATGCACCCACTCTCACTCATGCACACGCATACACATGCTGGCACAGGCACACACTATCCAGAAAGACAGACACGGACGCATGCTAGGATATGCACACAAGGGCACACACATGCTTTCCTTCGATACTAACTTGGCTGGAGAGTTGGCTACCACCTGGGGAGGAGAGAAAGAGCAAAGAAGACAGGGCTATCAGAGTGAGGCTCCTAGCAGGGTGTTTGAGCTCTGGGACCATACTCAGAATGGCCATTGTGGAGGCAGAGCCAGCCCAGACTGGCTCTGGTTGAGGGGAGTGCAAAGTAAGGAGGAGAAAAGCTCAGAGTTGGGTCATGGCCTCTTGATTTGGGTAAGAGATGCCTTCAACAGTGTTTTTCCCTCGGTAGGTCCCTAGTACCCAAAGCTTTGCCAGGTTTCCTTGTCCATCTTTAAGGAAGATTAAAGAATACATGGATTCCCCCCATACAACATGATTGCAGACCCTGGGAGAGAAGCAAGCCAGCTGTGGCTGCCAAGGGCCTAGGTACCTCCTGTCCTGACAGCAGCTCTGAACTTCCCTTTGTTTAATGGGGGAAGCTCTGGGAGTTCTGCTCCCTGAGGAGGCATTGCAGTGGTGCTGGGGTACATGTGTGGCGGGGTTACCCACAGCCCCAGGACCTGCTTTCCCTCTCAGAGTTAGGGCATGTGGATAGGCAACAAGGCAGTATGGAAGAGCAAGGAGGCTCAGAATTGGGGGTCCATAGCTTATTGCAGGAAAGCCCCCAGATATGGCAGCCCATCTGCAACACTACAAGAGGGACCCCACCATCACTCTTCTCTGAGTGAGCCTTCTGGAGCATCATCTCCTTGGGGGAGATATTGCCTGCATCAAATCTCTTTAAATGCAATTCCTTGGCCCAGCAGATCCTGACTGTATCTATGGCCCTGTTGGAAACCTGGGTGGGAGGGGGAAGGGATGAGGGGGGTTGTAGAAGAGTGCAGGCAGCGTCCTTGCCTCAGACTCTGCTACCTTCCCAGATATGACCACTATGGACTCTGACGTGGACGCCTGGGACCCAGCTAGCCAAGCTGTGATCATCCTTTGGCCAAGACCCTGAGAAATCAGGCCAAAGCCAGCGGTATCTGAACCCCAAGCAGCCTCACTGTGGCCCTGCTCAGCCCCAGGCCCCTGTCTTAGAGCTAATAAATTTACCTCTGTCCTCCCAGTCTCAAAATAGCTGCAAGTGAAGCTATATTAGGAAAAGGCCAGCACAGATCTTCCATTCCTTCTCCATTTTTGGCCAGTGCTGACAGCTGCAGGGTCAGCTCTTGCCCTGACCAGCCATGCCCAGTGCAGCTAGCTCCTTCTTTGGCATTGATTCTTGCCCCCCCCCCCCGCCGGGCTTAGCTTCCACCTGAGGACCTGGAGGCTGCAATGCCTGTCAGACATAGTTCAGAGAGGAGGCAACAGCCAGGTCTTGGAAAAGATGACCCAAAGCTGTAAGGTCTGCCCAGGGGCCCTTGTGTCTAGTGGCCTTGTGGACTCTGCTCTTCAGTCCCAGTCCCAGAGAGGATAAGGAGAAGGGGGCTACAGGGGTACTCAGGCCCATTGTCCCTGCACCCCATTTGTTCTCCTACATGCCTCCCAGGGTAGAAACTGCCAGGTAAATACTATAAACTGCTCAGAGAGAGAACAGGGGAAGGAACTTCCTTTTAAAGCTGGACAGGACGGAGTTAAAATCCTGACCCTGCCTCTCCCTAGTGCTGTGACTCTGGGCAATTGCCCACCTGTCACAGCCTCCATCTCCTCATTCATAAAATTGAGAGGCCAGTGCCTACTGCACAGATGGGTTGTGCAGACTAAACAGAATCCTGAGAGCAGAGCCTTCGGAGTGGGTTAAGTGTCCAGTGGATGGACTGCAAGCAGTTGGGCACTTAGTGAAGGCAGTGCGTCAGCCCATCAGAGGCTTCCCAGGCTGGCCCAGATCAGAGGCTCCACCCTTCCTGTGTCATTGTCTGGGGACCGCAGCACCAGTCTTCATTTGGATGAAGCACTCCCTCTCCTAGCCCATCTTTGCTTGGAAGAACCCGTTGGACTCTGATGCTCTGAGCATCAAGTAATACCGGAATATTTGTCAGGTTTCTGAGAAGTGCCTGTGCCAATGGGAAGGCACCTTGGGAGTCGTGGGAAGCAGGGATGCGGTAAGCCCTTCACTTCCTGGGGCAGGTAGGTGGGTCCCTGTCTCCATATAGGGAGGAGTCAGGTTGACCTGGGGTCAGTCCTATCTGCTACTCATTAGCTGTGTGACCTTGGGCAAATTATTCATTCTCCCTGGACTTCTATTTCCCAGACTTAAAATGGGGGGAAATGACGCCAATCTCTGAAGTTGCTGAGAGAGATGTGTTAGTTAAAGCACATGGACTGTTAAAAAGTGCCCAGACCAGACTGAGGGCTCAGTAAGGAGGAGACAATCCCCTTACCCCAGGTGAGCCTCCCTGGGGGTCCCACGGGCTAGTCCCAGGGTGTCCAGGAAGAGCCACCTGCCCATCCAAGGCAGAGAAGGAGGCCATTTCTACTCCGCTGTTCCCTGAGTTTTCTGGCAGAAGTTCCTTGCTGAAAAGAGCTGATAGTATGTAGCTCTGCCACCTTGGTCCAGGAAAGTCAGGGTGCTTAGACCATGGAGTGCCTGAGGCCACTTTCACTCAGGATCTGAGAAAGAGCTGGGGATCTAGAGGAGGTGCGGAGCAGTGAACTGGTGGGCCACGGGCACCTTCTGTGGCACAAGCAAAGGAAGGGCACGGGCTTGGGTCAGACTGCCCCAGGGTGGGATTCTGGCTCATTAGTGTACCAGCTGTGTGACGCCAGGCAATGATGACGGGCAGCACATACTGAGTGTGCCAAAACAGAGCTCAGTGCTATGCACGTGTTGTCCCCTTCAGTCCTCCCAGTATCGGACAGTTTCATGTCCATGTACCCCTAACCACTGCACCATATTGCCTTGACTCAGCCTGTTCTGCTTCTAACAGAATTATTAGAGATAATTATACCAATTTCAGGGGGCCATGGGAGACATTAAAACGAGATAACAAGCTCAAAGAACTTAGAAACTAATACACACTCTGCTTGGGGTCTTCTTCCCCTCAGCCCCTCCATGATGCCAACGAGCTCTAGATTTTCTTTTAACTCCTGTGCTCACAGAGCCCTACCAGCTAGACTTCAGGGGTCGGGGGCTGGGCTTCTGTTCTGCACAGCCCTGTTCTCCTTGGGGTCCTGCTTCCTTGCTGCCCCGCCTCAGACAGGCTCAGTCCTGCAAGCCCACTCACTTTACACAGTTGTAAAGTCTCTCTGACCCCAGCTTAAATGCTTCCTCCTCCAGACAGCCTTAGAGAACGTGCCTTCCCACCTTTTTAACTCTTCCTTGCTCCTGTCTCAAGGCTCCTGGAGGGGTGTGGACCAGACTGTCTTTTTGCCCTAGGCCTCCTGGAGGCAGCAGGCCTTGTCCTGTGTGTGTGGTGGTGGTGGTGGGCGGGGGGGTTGTCCTGGTATAACAGTTTTAGGTATTACAGTCTTCTGCATTCAGGCCCATTTCAGCCATTTAGTGGCCTGACAGCTGGACCTTGACTTTCTCCAAGCCTCAGTTTTCCCTGTGCAAAATCTGACACATCACCCCAGTGTAGTTGTGTAAAGCAATGAGGCACCAGAGCCTGACAAATGTCACTAGGATCATTGCTTTCATGGCTTTTAGCCCACGCTATCTCATGGGGCTGGGGCTGGGGCTGGCAGCTTGAGGCCAGCCCCTCACTCTAACCACCTAACTAGCCTCTACTGAGCACCAAGGACCCAGGTGGCCCCAGACCACCAGCAGAGAGCCACGTGCCCATTACCTACCCTCCTGGGAGTCCAGCACCTGAGGCCTTCCCTCGGAGGCTCATCTGATACATCTGAGCCATCTCCCTCAGGGTCTCTGCCGAGTACAGGCCAATGGGGTTGTTATATTGCCTTGGCTGGCTGGAACCCAGTGGCACTTTTGGGCTGAGTGAGTCCAGGACCCGCTCCGGGCTTGTCTTGGCCCCAGGGCTGCCCCGTGGAGGGCCAGGGTCAGAGGCCTCCACGTGTGAGGAGAAGACGGAGGTCTGGGAGAAGGAGGAGCTAAAGGTCTGCCTGACCTCTGGGGTGCCCGGGCCGGCCCTCGCCTCGGGGTTGGGGCTGGGCGCCACCAGGCTGCCGTTGGTGTCCTGAGCAGGGTCCTGGCACAGGGTAGCCGCCATGCAGGGGAGAGAGAAGAGAGCAGTTAGAGTCCACATGCATCCCAGTGCTTCTGTGTGGACCTGAAACAGAGGTGTTAGTGTGAGAGCCCCGCAGCCTGCGGCCTGTGCTCTGAGCTCAAGACGGGCCAGACAAGCACCTGAAAGAGAAGGGTTTTGTCAGGAAGAACAGAAGAGGCACACAGTTCCTGGCCCAATTGTTGGCATTGACCTGGACAAAATGCAAAGCCCCCCTCAGAAAGCCAAGCCAAGCCATCCTGCTCACAGGGTTAGAGAAAAGAACTGGGACAAGGGGGCTGTGGTGTCAGGGAGTGGGGAGACCCAACTCCACTCCATGTCTGTTCCCCTACCCCTGAGTAGGGGCCCCTGGTGACTCAGCCAGCCTCCTGTTCTACTGACCCCACATTGAGATACCCCCATTTGGCCAGTTAGAGGGGGCCCCCCAGCTGGTAGTGGATAGGCAGAGTGAAGGGGAAATTGAGGGACTAGGTGGCCGACATTTTGTTCCTTTGTTCACCTCTGCAACTTCTTCCAAGTAGCCTTCTGTCTAGTTCCCCAGTTTGTCAACCACTCCAGCCCCATGTCAGCCTCTTTCTCTCCCCTCTTCCTATCCCTTGTGCACTCTGCCTCACTGAAGAGACAGTCAGTATAAGATCATGCAAGGAGGGGTGGAGAATGGGCCCTTTCTGGAGTAGTGGGGTGGGCCTCCCATGCATTGGGCCCACATGGTCGAGCTGCTTAGAGGAACCTAGAAAGGGGCCTGGGGCACGGGGGTGAGGTCTGTGGCCATGGCTCCACCTTCTCTCCTGTACCTGCCTGTTGGCCACAACCAGCATTTCCGATTGGGCTATATGGGTGTGCAGTTGGGAGGAGGAATGGAAATCAGAGGGAGAAAGCCCAGGTCAGAGGATAAACCCCGAGGGACAGCAGGCCCCTCCACTCCTGGGAGCTCCTCCTGGGGTGACCAGGTCAAGCTAGGGCTTCCGCTTTCATACCACAGTGCCTCCTCCCCGGTGCCTCAGGAAGATGACGGTCAGAGTCTTCTGGACCCTTGTCTCACCTGGCCGAGATTATGCTCTCTCATAATCCCCCAGCCCCAGCTGGGGCTGCCTAAACTGGTATTGCGTGAGCTCAGCCATGAGGTTCTGGCAGGTGGTACCCAGGCAGGCACTTCACACTCAGTATTTCATGGAGGCTTGAACACTTCTCCCCAAAGCCTGCCCCACTCTCCAGGACCAGCTACAGCAGGCCAGTGCTGGGGCAGGGCTGATTCCTTGCCTTGCCCCAAGTGGGCCAGCCAAGGGTCAGGCAGGCAGACCAGGGGCTGCACCCCAAGATCCGTGCCTGAGAGTGGAATCTGCCATCAACAGTCAGTACCTACCTTCTGGTGGGGGATCACTGGCAGAGGGGACTGAATTGGGGGTGTCGCCATGGAGATGGGAGCGGGTCGCTTTGACCTGGAAGAACCAGAAATGAGACAAAGTGAAGGGCCAGGAGATTAGCCTGGGCAGAGCTAGCCAGGGGAGAACAATGGAATACTAGGGAGCCAGGTCAGAGAGCCCAGGGCCCACTGCCCACTGAGAGTCTCCAGGAAACCACTGGGTCTAACCAGGAGGGAGAAGTCATGGCCCTGGGGCACTTGGCAGCCATGGGCCCCTGCAAAGTCCTTGGGAGACTGCCTGGGCAAAGAGAAACCAGGGAAGACCCTGGCTTTTGGGCCTGACAGCCACACACTGGCAGCCCCAGACCCATCTTCTCAGCCTTGTCTGTAAAGTGAAGCACAGACATGGCAGGTGCTTAACCATGACTTGGGCCTAGTCCTTCTGGTCCAGGGGCTGTCCTTACTGCCTGGCAAGGCCTCGTAGCGCAGGGCTGGACCCACACAACTGCTGCTGGACAGCCCATCTCTCAGGCGCCTAATGCCCATACCCCAGCCTCCCCCCTGCTCTGGAGAGCTCCCACCTACTTCTGCAGCGTGAGACTCAGGTTGTAGCTGGCAGACTTGATCTTGTTCTGGGCCTCTAGGTGGGTCATGGTGTCCGTGTTGACGCCATCAATGGCTACCACAAGGTCACCCTGGCTGAGCTGAGACTGGGCCGCCTTGCTGCCCGGTGTGATCTGAGAGGATGGCAGATGGGGAGATGAGCATAAGGAGGATGGGCCTGAGGATGGGCCAGTCCTCAGTGAAGAGTCCCCCAGGATCATTCAGTAGAGGCCCGCCATTTTGTCTTCTTCACTGTGGCTAGCACCCACTGCTCATCACACCCGATTCCTCTTGCTGGAACACAGCTACCACATTTCCTAGTGCTTTGCATCCAAGTGTGGCTGTAAGACTAGCTCTGGCTGGTGGGAGGTGGATGGAAGCAGTGCATACCATTTCCAGGCCTGTCCCAAGCAGCCATCCTTGACATCCTGCACTCTCTCTTCTTGTCAGCTGACTTGATGCAAAGGACCCAGAGGAGAATCAAGCCACTAGCAGAAGAGACTTGGATCCTGGAGTTTCTACTTGGTGGAGAATGACCAAGGAGCATTGCATCAAATGTTGCATGAGTGAGAAATGAACTTTCGTCATGCTAACCCATAGAGATTTGGGGGCTATTTCTCATACCAGTTTGCTCACTGTAACACCTGTACCCTGAAAATCCATGAAGCACTTCCCAGACTCCAGGAGGAAGGGGATACACAGGGGCTAAGCCTCAGCACGACCACAGAGATGCTGCCAGATCAGCAGTAAGGACAAATGCCCCCTCACAAAACATCCTAGTGTTAGTGCCTAGTGCCACCATAGCAGGGTACAGCAGCAGGCTGGCATGCTGCACCCTGCCTAGGTGAGCAAGGCTGGGACCTGGGAAGGTGTAGAAGTGGGGGTTGGTTCCCAAACCCTGCACCCCAATGCCATCACAGATTGTTAGAGTCTGGGGACCCTACCCCCAGTGTGATTGATCACATAGAATGCCAGGTTTGCTCCACCCTGGGACACCCCTTGCACTGTCAGGAAGGTGACACCCCCCCAGCAGCATTACTTGGGATCCCACGATAGTTCAGATTCTACTTCCAATGACATCATGTACGGTGTCAGATTCTGCAGACCTGGCTCTCAGTAATAGCACCCTGAATGCTGTGGAGACCCCTCCTGCAGTGATATCACATGAAATGCAAACTTCTGGAAGGCTTCTGGAAATAGCTTGATGGCCTATTCCTAGTGACATTCCATGGAATGTGATGAAGCTCCACCTCTAGAGATGTCTCATGAAAATGTCCCAGAGACTCCGTTCCACTATGACATCATGTGGAAGGCCCCCTCTGACACCACCCTGAATGCCATGCAGGCCCTACCCCCAGTGACACCACAGGAAAGAGAAGCCTCTGGAGGAGTTCCTTGGCTTTTCCTCCTCAGCTGTCTACCAGCTAGTCCTCCTGGCTTCTCCGGGCATATCCCGGTCACCTTCCTGGCTACACCCCAGGGACAAGGCAGATCCTAATGCTGGCAAAGATGTTTTCTGGCCAAGGCCTGGGGACCATCCTAGAAGGAGCCCAGAGAGGACCTGGGGACAGTCCCAGGTCTTGCGTGTCAAGCCTGAGAGGGCCTCTGGCCAGACCCTGGGCGCCCAGACCTGATGGAAGCCTCCTGCAGGCCCTTCACAGGGCGCTCTCAGCTGAACCAGAGCCCTTGCTGTCATCAGTCTCCAGCCTTTTCTCAGATGTGCTCCACAGGGGGGATACTCTGGTTTCTCTTCAGATTGTGTACATTTTTTGCCTTTTACAGGGTGAGCCCAGGAACCGCGTGTGATGACCCAGTGCTAACAGCAGCACAGGGAGAGCCCTCTCCAATTGCCTTCGACCTGCCCCAGCCCCAGTGGCTGTGCTATGCGCTTGTTCCACAAGCACTGGCCACCTTCTCTCAGAGCGGCCTCCCAGCCCTGAATCCGCTGAAACAGACAAGGACAGGAGAGAAACGAGCCTCTAGGTTGCCAGGGGGCCACCGTTTGTAGAACCCAGCGTGCCGCCCTGCTCCCACAGGGGCGTCTGATAACTGACCATTCAGGCCTCCTCAAAATGTGTACCACTCTCCCCAAACCCAAGGCCACAGGGAGCCTCTACTACTAACAGGAATGTATTGTTCTCTTCAATTTAAGGCATTAAACAATGGGTAGAAAGCAACAACAAAGAGAAACAAAACACTTTGCAGACTAAGACGGGACTCCCAAGGGCAAGGGAACTGCGTGGCCAGGCCTTTCCCTACACCTGGCTTCCCATGCTGCTGTGCACTTTCCCCAGCATTTTATTATAGACATCATCAAATGTATAAAAAGTGGAGAATTTTACAGTGAACACCTAGGTACCCACCACTGAGGTTCTACTGTAACATTTCCCTCAACTTGCTGCATCATAGGTCTGCCCCTCTCTCCATCCACCAATCTAAGCTTGGAAGCACTTCAGAGAAAGAGGACACCAGTATTCTTCCTTTCAGGAGAAACTGAGCAATGCCACTGCCCCCTAGTGGACTCCCAGCACCACTCCCCCGCACAAGGGCTCCTCAGGGGCTTCTAACCAATCCCAGAGAAGGGGCCATCACCCTGCAGCAGAGAGATCCCAGGTAGGAGGGTGGGGACTGGTAGCACAGACCCCAGACAGAAGGGCAGGCCAGTTGCCTACAGACGTAATAGTTTCCAGACAGGAGCAGAGTCATGTCCAGAAGATCATGAGTGACAGTGTAAGCAAGGACGACAGAATGACATCCAAGAGAGGCTGGTGCCAAATCAGCTTGGGCAAAGGTGGGGGGTCAAGAGGTGTCGAATCTGGAGTGTCCTGTTAAAGCTACTGCACACCAAACTGTTACTGTGTCTCCCACCTTCCCCTGGCCAGGCCCTGCCTTTTTTTCCCCTCATCCTTAGGTACAGACTGGAGTGATCCCTATTCCCAAGGTAGAGCTCAGCCTCCCTGGGGCCTGGTCAGTAGCCAGAGATGCTTCTGAGGGAAGCCGCTGAGCTGGCTCCTGTCTGTCCCTGGCGCCTCTCTCCCTGCACCTGTCTGTGCCCGTCAGGGCTCAGCTGGCCTGGCCTTTGGCTGCCCTGAGCAGGATCCAACAAACCTTGGGCTGTCATCCTCTTTTAGGGAGGTGCTTTTCTAGTTCTAACCAGCTTATCTTAGAGATGGAGGCAGGGAGCTCTACCACGGACCAAGGGTCATCAGGTCCCTTCCCCCCACTGTGGGAGTGGTGTGCCGCATAGGTGGGTGAGCCCAGGGCACTTACTCAGAGCCCAGGGCAGTGAAGGGTGCAGTCCAAGCATGATGTACCCATGGATCTGTCAGACTGTACCCCTCTCTGCTTTCCTCAACCCAGGAAGGACCCAAAGCAGCTAAATCCTTGGAGATTTTCTTTTTTCTTTAGTTTTTCCCCTTTTAAGCATTTGAAGGACTCTTCATAATAGTCATTTCATTCCCACTTCACTTTTCAGTCTTCTTGACTCACCAGCCACCTCCCAGCTGGGAAACCAGCCTGAAAAGAGCTCTAGGCCTGAGTCTCATCCCCAAGGCTCCCAGGATGGGCTCAAAATGTTTGGGGGCCAAAATTGCCACCTGACCCACAGTAGTCCTTTCACCTGGCTGAGACATGGTCTTAAGGCACTCCAAAGGGGGCACAGGGATAACAGGTGCCAAGGAACAGCTGTGGCCTCATTCACCTGCAGGTGCAAAGGCAGCAAAGGAAAGAGTGTGGACTTTGGTCTGGGCCAGACCTGAGGTTGCAGTGCCAGCCTCTGTGCCCTCTGCGTATGGAGAGAAACGCCACCTTTCTCCCAGGATTGCTGCAAGCATTACATTATTAAATAGGGTGTTACGTAAGGGGGGTAGAGCTGAAATAGTTTCAAGGAGGCTCCCAACTGAGGAGGCATCTGTGCTGCTCCCCTCCCCACTCCTTCCCTCTGGAGGTGCCAGAGGGGCTGAGGCTGGGAGACTGCATCCCTGGCCCCAAGAGAAACAAGACCCAGAGCTGGCCGAGCTGGGGAGCAAGAGCCTGCCCTGAGTGACCAGTCCTGAGCCAGCATGCTGTCCCTGAAGGGGCCTGAGCATTAGCTGGAGGGAAGTTCTGTCCAGATTCCCAGGAAGCAAGATGCTGGCTGGGGCTCAGGGGCATCCATTCTGTCACTTCCTATTTCCCCAGTCCCCAGGCAGCCAGGAGGGCAGCTGGGCTCCCTGCAGAAGTTCCCATCCTCCCAGTGCTCAAAACCAGACAGGCCCTAGCCTTCCTTCTGCCTTATATTTGCCAATGTAGATGTGATGGGGGATGGGGAGAAGGGCAGCTAGTGGATGCCGTGGATGGTGTAGCTTCCAGCATCTCCTCCCACCCTTCCAGGCTGACCAACCCAGGGGATTTCCTGTAGAGTCCTAAGTGCATTTAACATTGTGCGATTAAATTACTGTTGTGCCACGTTCTGCTAGAGTCCCATCTGGACTCCCCTGGGGCCTTGCTCCATCCCTTACCCTCTCACTGGAAACTGCTGTCTCCCATGGCCCTGCTTCCAATCCCACCCTGGCCAATAAACAAGCCAGAGTCTTATCTGTGCTCAAAAAGTCTCTCCTTGCAGAGAGCATCTTCAGGGTAATGAAAATACTCTGGATACACAGTAACGGTGAATATATGTCATTATACATTTGTCCAAACCCATACAATGTATAAGAACACGAGCGAACCCAAATGTCAACTACGAACTCTGCCTTAGGGCGATAACAATGTGTCACTGTAGGTTCACCGATTGTAAGAAATGCACCCCTCTGGCGGGGGTGTTGACAGTGTGGGAGGCTGTGCATACAGGGGCAGGGGGTATATGGAAGATCTCTGTGCCCTCCTCTCAATTCCGCTGTGAACCTAAATCTGCTCTAAGAAAATACTTTTTTAAAATAATGATAATAAAACCTCTCCCTGCCCTGTGTTACCTGCTCCAGCAGCTCCTGTCATGTTTTGCTCCCTTTCTTCACCTCCAGGATTCTTCAAAAACCGACCAGCAGGTCCTGCCTCTGCCATCTCCCATTCCTCTCACACCCAGCCATCTGGCTCTGTCACCCACCACTCCACACACTCCAATGACCTCTCTGTGCCCCAAGTCAGGGCTCACTTCCTCTCTGGCTGACCATGCTCGTACCTTTCACTGGCCTGAGTCTTTCTCTTCTCTTCTGGTCCAAGCCCACAGTTTTATCTGCGTCCTGGATGTCACCTATAGAATACTCCCATGGGCACATCACTCACAGTGGGCCCCAGAGAGGACTGGGACACGGCACAAAGCCCCTTCATGCCTCTTAAGATGGTTCCTGGGTAGAGGTGGAACGTGGGCCCAAAAAAGGCCTTTGCAATGACTGCCCCTGGATGAGAGGGGACTAGATAGAGAGGAACAGAGGCTCAGGGGACTGAGGAGACATCTCCGAGCCTGGAGGGTTGCCCCAGCAGGGCCCCGCAGACCTTCTTCAGGAAGCCTCCCCAAGATTGCTGCCGTCCCACCCCTTAGTCTGAGGAGCCTGGGGGCTACCCACGAAGTTGCTGTTTCCTGTGTCCTGGCCCAAGGCCTTGGAGGTTCCGTTCCCTGGGACACAGCCAGTCTCATGCCCGCTTCCTTCAGAGCCCTCACAGGGTCAGAGACAGCTCTGAACACCAGGGAAGAGGAGCATGTCAGGAGACAGCGTGGCTGGCAGACCTCTAAGAAGGCACTCTCCAGCTGCGGGCCTCTGTCAGTTCTTTCCCATTTGTTCACGTGCTGGGTGGGGCAGGGGGCAGGTGGGGCCTGGCGGCCCCGCAGGAGCCCTCCAGAGGCTTGCCTGACCTTAGAGGCTATAAACAGCATGAGCTGTCAGCACTCTGAGGCGCTGCCCAAGAAACAACACTGGCAGCCTCAGAATTCCAGGAATTGCGGGCACAGTTGCCCCAGAATAGTCTTGGCCTTCCCCCTCCCTGGGGACCCTCTGTCCTTAGCGTCCCCATTGTAGCTGGGATAGTCTGACAAATCCCGGAAATGAAAACTCAGGGCTGGTACCTACGCATGTCTTCTAGGCTGGCGGGTGGAGCAGAGAAACAGACCCTACCCCGAGCTGAGCACCAGCCCCCACCCCCCATTCTCACAACCAGTACCTGAGGAAGAGCGGGTCTAAAGTATTTTCATGAGTGCCTGTTAGAAAGCCCTCTCACAAGGCACTATCTTCATTTCACAGACAGGAAAACTGAGGCTGAGCTGGTGAACTGACTTCTAAGGTGATACACCTGTGAGTAGCAGAACAAAACAAAAGCACCGACTTCTTCCCTAAAGCTGAGGACCACAGCATGCACCAAGGGGCAAGGCCCCAGCCTCTAGCCTAGCAGCTGGAATTGGGGTGGGGGATGGGTCTTTGTAGATTCTCCCACCCCTCCCCCACTTCCTGGAGCACTGGCTGGGGTTGGGAGAGGGTGGGGTGAGAGGTCAGCTTGTGTTGCAAGCGCAGCCGCACCTGTCTGGGATAAAGAAAGGCATTTCCCCTCCACCCTCTGAGTCTCCCTCCTAAACTTTCTTCTCTGTCGGTTCTCAGGCTGAGACCCACTGAAAGGAGGGCTTGAGGGGATGCTGCTGCCCCAAAGTTGCTACTGTGGGACCTGTGGGCAGAATGAGGTGGGGACAGAGCTACCACTCAGCCTGCAAGTGGCTGGTAGCCACCTTCTTATGGGAGAAGTTGCAGCCTGCACCTGCAGCTGATAGTTGACAGGCCCTACTCAGTGCTTTTCTGTTAGCCCCTAGCCAGAGGGGTGAAGGAACAGGCTTGGGAACTAGGGATTACCACAGGAGCTCCTGTGCAAATTTGAGATTCAGTTTGCCTGGCTCTGAAGCCCTGCCGCCCTGCCCTCCCCCTCAGGACTGCATTGCTGGAGAGGTGGGGGTGGCCACTGCTGAGAATGAGCAGGCCCCTGCCTCTGTGAACGTCCCCTCTGCAATATGCCGCTAGTCACCTGAGCACCCACCCGCCCCTGTCGGAAGTGAATCACAGCTGGAGTAGGGGTAGGGTCTTTCCAGAAAGCTCTGGCCCTGTCTCCCCTTGAGAGAGAAGTTCCTGGTGCAAAAGGGGCTGAAGAGCCACAGCAGGAAAAACCACAGCCCTGGGAAGATGACAGGGCTCAGGGTCTCAGGGCCTGGCCTACACCACTCAGCCTGGGACTGAGTATCAGTCCAGAGTATCCGCGGCTCAGCAGAGCAGTTTATCAAGGTACTCCAAGCCCTGGGGCGGTTCAGTGCTTAATCCAGCTTGCTGCATGGCCTTGGTAATTTGGAGCTTGCCCCTGTAGGAAGCAGAGGCCATGGTGTCCATCCCTGGATGCCTTGCCAGAGCTGCAGGTTCTATTTTTAAAAGTTCCTCCTAGTCATTGGCTCCCGTACATCCCAATACACTCCCTCCCTACAGTGAAGACATTCTTCCTGCTGTCTAGCTTAAGGCCTCTGTGCTGCAATTAAGCCCCAGACTAGCCAGGCCAGGTGACGCATAGACCCTGGTGAGGTAACTGGCTATCTTGGGTGCCACTGAACTGGGAGGCTAATTTCTAACTGCAGGATTGAGGCAGGGAGCACCAGGAGGAGGCCTTGAGGATGATGGAGCTGGAGCAGAGCTGGGCTGGTGGTTGTGGGTGGCCAGTGGACTTATGAGAGTGAGAATGGGCAGCCCCGCCTCATACAGGGAGGAGACCTGCAACCATGGGGGCGGGAAGTTGTGCAGCGTCCTAGGGGTTGTGTTCCCACTTGGGCTCAAATGCCCACATGTCACCATGTCATCAGTGCACAATTCTCTTGTCCTTTTAGTATGGGACCCTGCGGGCTCCAGGGCAGTGGGTCTGGAGGGGTTGTAAACTCAGGTTAGACTGAGCCAGGAGGATGGAGGACTGAGGCCTTTTCCCTGGGCTGGAGGCAGCCCGGCGCCACACACCACAGGAAAGTGGTCTCTATGGCTGTTAGGAGCTTCCTATAGCACTCCTGAGTGAGACTCTCCTTGGGGTCCCTCCAAGCGCCCACATCAGGTTCCACAACATGAGGACTGTGCCTCCAGCAGGGGTATTGGCTTCCCTCCCCTTCTGCCAAGCAACTTTCAGACCTTCCCTGGCTACCCACTCAGTGCTTTCCTGCCCCAAGGCAAGTCTCTGCTGCCCTGGAGAAAAACCCTCTTCCTGTCCCTGGGTGGGCAGCAACCCAAACACTCCTGTCCATTTATCATCCTCTGTGACAGCCTGGGGCCCGAGCCTGCCCCCTGGTGCCCACACCCAGCACTGCTGGGGACTGCCCCAGCCTTAGCCCATCATGCTAAGTATGGCCTTTTAGTATGGGACCCTGTGGACTAACAGCCATAGAGGCCACTTTCCTGTGGTGTGTGGTGCTGGGCTGCCTCCAGCCCAGGGAAAAGGCCTCAGTCCTCCATCCTCCTGGTGAGCTGGCTCATTCTAACCTGAGTTTACAACACCTCCAGACCCACTGCCCTGGGGACTGTCTATGTCCTCGAACATCTCAGAGTCCGCCCTGGGCCACGGGACATTCAAACTCGGCTCTGCTGGACTTGTTGGAGAGTCCCTTTATTTGGCAAATGTTGCCTGAGCATCTACTATGTTGTAGGCCCTGCTATAGACTTCAGGTACATAACAGTGGTTAAAACAAAGCCCTTTCAGATCTGATTTCTCTGCTTTCTGGGTTTTAGTGTCCCCAGCAGGTCAGTAAAATTACTCAGACATTCTCTGATGGTCTGTAACACCCACATCAGGCAGTGATATTCACTGATCACAGACGCTGTAGGACATGGGTTGTTTTCCCAGACAAGCATGGGGAATAAGATGTGAGACAGGCAGATAAAGCAGCCCTGGTGAATGGGTAGCGGCTTAGGCAGGTGAGGGAGGAAGGCCCAGCCTCATGAGGCCAGCCAGTGCCAGGTCCCTGGCAGGACCAGCAGGTGGGAGGAGGGGACTCTTATCTTGGGTCTGGGATGGATGGAGTGGGTGTTAGAGCCCAGGAACCAACCCAATCCAGGCCCAAGTCCTGACAGCCAAGGTCAGCAGTCTGTCCATCCACCTATCCACCCTCCTGTTACCTGCCCTCTCTGTGCTAGGAGTGTTCTCTCCACAAAGCAGTTGCCCACTATCAGGTAAATGTTCCAGACTTGCCGAGGAAGGGCCGAGAAAGGTGCTACACTTTGTTCACTTGCCTGCCTGCCCTGAAAATTGGACACTTCCTTCTCTGCTGCTTGCCCGTGGCATTTCACATTTACAACAGTCTGGTCAATTCAGGGGGACAAACAGCTGTGGCCAAGACCAGGACCCTATGGCCAGCGACATCCAGTGGGGTCCAATGCCAGCCCCCAGACTGGGGATATGGTATGCTCTCGTTTTCAAGAGCACTGAGGAAGATGGATGGACACACATATGCTTCCCTGAACATACCAACCCCTATGGGCACCAAGGCTGTGAGCAGCACACACTCACCCGGGAGATAGTAAGCGGCATGTTGAAGTCCTTGCCCCCCTGCAGACGAAAGCCCCAGGGCCCAGGCCCGGTCAGGGTCACGCTGTAAGACATGCTGGTGCTGACAGTGGTGGCCTCTGTGGATAAGAAGAGGGAATGAGACAGCCCGCATGCACTCTGCCTCTGCACCTGCCCCGGACCCCCGACCCCCAGCCTTGCCTGCTCTGTCCCTTGCTGTCTGGCCAGGCTGTGTGGAGCTCCTGAGAAGCTCCTAAGAATAGCTGGGAACGAATGCCATCGACACTGATATCTGCCCTCTGCTACGCCCATAAATGGACTGTAACCTTACACTGTGCCCGCCCGCCGAGGCCTTCCAGGCGGTCCACCGTGACTCACAGAGCTAATATAGCCCCTGGGGAGGGTGTCCTGCACCCAGGGAGCAGGGTAACACACTGGCCACGTCGGTGGTAATGCTCTTGCCTCCCCGCTCTCCTCTGCTTGTTGTCTCTGCCCCCTGGGGAGCCAGGACACACACTCCCTCCCCAGCTGCACCCACCCCCTGGTGACTTGGGTTATTGTTGCCCTGTGGTCTCTGGTGAAAGGCTGTACCTTACCCAGTGTGGTCGTGATGGGCCTTAGGACCAAGCTGAGCTTCCAGCTGGTCTGGACAGACCTTCGGCTCAGGAGAGGAGTAATTGGCCCAAGGTTTTCCAGCATACGAACAATCAACATAATAGCAGCTCCAAGCACAGCTAAGCCCAGCTCCAGGCCCTTCACATCATTATTCCCTCAGATCCTGAGAGGCTGCCATCTCAGCAGGAGCCAAAACTCAGACAGGTTAAGTGACTTTTCCAAGGTAACACAGCAACTGCACTCAGGCCACACTGGAGTCCAGGCTAATTCCCATGGGATTCGTGCCAGATAATGGGCTCCCGGTGGCCACAGGTGCCTACCAATGCTCAGACTCAGGTTGGGGTCCTGCCTGTGCCCTTCAGCATAGGGTCTGAAGGCAGGTCCGAGGCAGCCCCACACTGTCCAGACCCTCTGGAGGCCCAGCAGTTACTCCTGGCTCCTGTGTCTCATTTGCGCTCTGGAAAACTTGACAGCAGTAAGGAAAGCTCCAGCTGCCAGGGTGGCATGCCAGGCTCCTGTGCCCTTTGCGCTGGAATGGCAGGGGGCGGGGAGCAGGAGGGGGGATGCTGTTTGCTCAGTGTCTGGGACACGGGGCCAGAAGGGGCAGGAAGGGGCTGTACGTTCGGTGTGTTCAGCCCACAGCCCCGAGACAGTGTGTTCTGAGAGGGGGTCTAGGCTCCTTGAGAGTGTGGCCTTGGGAGATGCTCCTGCCAATGTGGTCTTGGGGCCAGGATTCCTTTAGAAGCCTTACCCCAGAAGACACCTGGGACCCTGGGTTGTCTGGAAATAGGTCAAAACTCAGTGTGGCTCCTGGATGGGGAAACTGAGGCTTGGGGAAGGCAACTGGGTGAGCTGCTCTCTGGCCTTCCCAGAGGGCTCTGGCTTGGGCTCTGCCCCAAGGACTAACTAAGTACAGGCCTGAGTGTGAGTAATTTCCCAGCTGCTAGCATCCCATCTCATGCCTTGGGCCTAGCACATACAATGTTCAGGGTAAAAGTCCCCACATTATAGGAGCAGTTGGTAACTTGCCCAAGATCGCAAAACTATCAAATGGAAGAAGCCCAGGAGGGACCTGTGTTCTTTCCTCCACTTTACCACCTCCTTGCCCTATATCATGTAGCCCAGCCTGTTCTCCCTGCTGCTGCCTGGCCCAGGAGGCTGGCAGCTTGCAGCACCCATCCCTCCCCTGTACCACTCCCTGCCCTTCCCCCAGCCCCCATTCCATCCATCCCTGACTCCAGCCTTATCCCCTTCCCTACAGAGATCTGTTCTTCCAAGCTGGAGAGGGCCCAGCAGCATGAACAGTGTGAGATAAGGAAGTGTAATGGGGTTCAGAACTTGGGCTGCTGAAGGCTATGCAATTCTGAAACAGAGGAAAGGGGAGGAGGGGGAGCACTGGGCTAGACTGTACCTGGAGCTGCAGGCTCTTTCTCTGGGCTTGGGTACCCGCTTGAAGCCTGATGCTACCTCAGGGAAAGGGAGGGGTAGTAGAAAGAATGCTCTTAAAGGGGGAGGCCAGCCACTGCCCATCTGCTTCCCCTGGGGGCCCAAGACAGCCAGAGAGCAGCTGGTACCTAGGGGCTGGGTGGGTGCTGCTTCTCAGTAACGGCAGCTCATTGGGCGGTGGGGCTGGGGGCGGGGCTGGGGGGCAAGCCTGGTCTTTGTCCCTCCTCCAGTCTGCACCCCGCAGTTTGAGATGGTAGCTTCAGGAAAGAGAGTCACGCGGTGGGGGAAAGAGAGAAGTGGAGAATGAGAAACTTCTGTGGGCATTAGCGGGCAGGCCTGGGGGTTCTCTCCAATTGCAACATCAACAGATAAGAGACCATGCTTCTCTGAGACCTCTGATTATTTATTTTCCTATACTCTATCAGAGCCACACAGTCCTGGGTTAAACTTAGACCACTGATTTGAAAGAAATCGCAAGTGCGGTGTGTGTACACATGGGCTGAGTGTGCATACAAATATGCACATGCAGAGCGTGTGCTTGCACATGTATGTGTGCACAGGAGTGTGGAGCACAGTGGAAACCACACAGAGGGAGAAAACTACTGGTAAGTGAGAGTTTCCAGTACATGAAGGTCTGTGTTCAGCTCTTAACTGCTGACTCAGGGAGACACAGTGCTGGCTTGCCCATGCCAGCAAATGCCCAGCCTGGGTGCAGAGGCAGCTCATAAATAGCTAGTGTACCCCCATGGAGCCATCACCATTGTCACCGCTCAGACGATCACAGCATTTGGAGAGGGGCAGGTGGCTCCAGGAAGCAGGAAGGCTGGGCTCCACTCTTCGGGATGAGCCTGGGGTGCAGGCTGCCAAGAGGAGAAGTGCGTGCAGAACACTTTGCATGGCAGGAGCTTTGTGTTTTGGGATATGAATCTAGCACACAACAAGTGACAGGGCCACTTCCAAAGCCCACAGACTCAGGAGGTAATCCTGGGTCTGTGTGCAGGGGGCACTGGGCATGTCCAGGAGAAAAGGAGATCCAGTGGTGCCCTATATCCTGGAGTCCAGGCTTGGGAGCAGCACCTTGGTCCAGAAAACAAACAACACACATCTGTTTAGCCTAAGGAATGTCCCAGCAGTAGCAGTCTCCCAGTGACTCTCCAGTGAAGGGAGGCTGAATGGAGGGCCAGGTTGTGTCCTAGGTCGAGGACGGGCCTTCTCTGAGACTCCAGGCAATGTGGCCTGAGAAATGGAGCCAGAAGTGTCTAAGGATGCCAGTAGGACATCCCCCTATGACGTCCCCTAGGCTCTTGGGCTCCTGAGGTCTGGACTGAGGTCTCTTCACCTCACCATCCCTTTCTCCACTTCCCTTCTTTCCTCTTCCCCATGCCAGCGTCTCCTCTCCCCCTGCTGCCTTCAACACCTCATTTCCGGTCTGTCCTATAGCACCTGCTTCCTCTGGTTTTCTCCCTGCAGCTCATGCCATTCAACCTGTCCTTCCCTAGCCACTGCAGAGGGGTTCAGTTACCCTGCAAAGCTGACCCAGCCATAATCAGAACCCTGCTAAGTCCTCCAAGGGCTCCTTATGCCCAGCGTTATGTCTGGAGACCCCTCTGGCCAGCAGTTGACTGGGTCTTCTCAAGGCTCCTACCACCACCTCCTGCCTGTCTCCTTTCTCCCACATGTCCTGCCAGCTCACAGGGTCCCTTTGGCTGCTTCTGAGGTCACAGAGCGACATTCTGTTCCAGGACACGGAGCTCCGCCTGGGCTCCACTGCGTTTGCACAGGCTGTTTCCTCAGCCCCCATCTTCCCTCATCCTGGCAATCTCCACTTTACCTCCACCTTCCCTGGGGAGCCCTTGGGGACTTGCCTCTGCTTTCAGCAGTCTGCATACTGATACCTCATTGGCAGTCTTTATCGCCTGTTAGGTGACTGCTGATGTGCTCTCCCTCTCAGACCAGCACCCTACCCCAGCCAGGTATTCCTTCCAGGACAGGCATTGTGCTTTTTGTCATTCCCCACCAGCCTGGGCGGGGGGGCAGAGCCATGCCTCTGTTCTGGCCTCTGTGGCTATGCAGTGCCAGGGCTCAGGGCTGGGGTGTGAGTCCTCCTGGGACTGGAGCATCAGGGAGCAGTGCTCCCTAGAACACTGGGGGAGGCAGAGGCTCCAACTATAGGGAGCAACCCAGGGCTCCCCCTCTCTGGGACACGCAGGGGAGCAGCCTTGAAGAATAAAAGCAGAAAAGGGCTCTGGCCTTGGGCTTGCTAAGGAAGCCCAAAAGAACCCAGGAGCTGGAAGGGTTGTGTAGGTAGGAATGAAGGGCAGGGGTGGGGGGAGCTGTCAGCTGAGAGGGAGGGGCAGCCTCAGCCTTGGGGCCTGAGCATGGCATTTCCAGTGTTCCAGAATATGGCCTTCTCTAATCGCCATCGACATTCCGTTCCATAGGCAGTTGGGCTGACAGCTGGCTTTCTTTTAATAGCCACAAGTATTCTGGGTAACATCCTAATCTCAGGGCATTTGCACTGAGCACATACACAGCTTGCAGCACCCCCACACAGGTATGTCCAGCCTCCAATCACACACAGAGATACACACCATCCACCCTTGGTCACATACAGCTTAGAGCAAACATGTTAGGGATAATTAATCAATTCCACTCCCTGTAGTGTCACAGTGACAGAGAGCATGTGCCAGGCACATGGTCACACACACTAGCACACGTGCATACATTTATCATAGTACAGCATAGCCACCACCACCTGCTACCTACAATCACACACAGACCCTTTTAAGTGGAGTCTCAGACCACACTGTGGCCTGCTCAGAGCATCTGGGAGTCATAGGCCTCCAGACTATCCATGTGGGCTAGGGAAGGCTGGGGAGGTACAGAGAAGATATAATTCTCAGAGGGCATTTGGGCCTACCCATGAGAACTAGTCCCCTTTTCCTGGTCACTCCCTGGACTACTTGCCCCTTGGCTCCAATCACCTTCCTGGGATCCTCTGCTTCATGTCCTTGGGGCTTAGGAAGGGTGTTGGCTTCCATGTCCTCCAGGCGCTGACTGCAGGGGGACCAGCCACTTACTTGCTGGGCAGACCCCCACATAGCTGCTGCTTCCGTGTCCGTCCATCCCTGGAGGAGGAGGAGGAGTCATTGCTAGGTGAAAGTGAGACATTTTGCTGTCTTGCCCTTGCCCTCCACACCAGGCCTTTCCCTCCCCTCCCCACAATATTCACT